CTTTCTTTGGGATTGGAATGAAAACTGACCTTTTCCAGTCCTGTGGCCACTGCTGAGTTTTCCAAATTTGCTGGCATATTGAGTGCAGCACTTTCACAGCATCATCTTTCAGGATTTGAAATAGCTCTACTGGAATTCCATCACATCCACTAGCTTTGTTCAGAGTGATGCTTTTTAAGGCCCACTTGACTTCACATTCCAGGATGTCTCCTTGGTTAATTATATTTTTAAAAAATTAAATGCCTCCAGGACAGTTTATTCTTTAGAGTGCTCTTGCAAACAGTAAATAGGCAAACCCACTGTTAAAGATTCAATGGATTAAAGGATCCCCAAGAAAAGGCTCAATAAGTCTGTGATGGTCCTGTATATGCTTTCATTTAGGACCAAATGGTTTGAGAAAAAGGGAACACTGGGATTTCTTCAAACTGGGTTTCATAAACGAAGCTATCTTTAATCAGAAGATGAGAGAGACATAGACAGACAGGAAAGCATGAACATATTTAACATATTAAATCTAGAACATGGGTCTCTAAAATAACTAGGGATTTGGATCTAACAAATGGAGCCAATTGTAACCACATAAAATGTCCAAAGAACTGTCATCCTGAATTGTGACTGTTTCCTACCCTAAATGACCCAGGACTCCCAAATTTTTGTAGTGAGGGAGCAGGGTGAAAAACTATATAATCTCCAATACTCACATTAGGTATAGCCAAAAAAAAAAAAAAAAAACTAAAAATTTAGACCCTATAGGATTCATAAAGAACAATGGACAAGAAACCCTGGCCCTAAACCCCGAAAAGTGAATCACGGTAAATTAAAAAGCAAACCCAACCCCCACAGCAGAGATACTGAATCTATTCATTGAGATTTTGGAATTGCTACATAGTAATGATAGCTGTGCATCTCTGATTCATCTTTCTTTCTGAGAGCATTCACAGCATATACCCTGCCCTCTGTCTCATTACTATATACCAGATCTGCTGGTGGTAAACAACACACATTTTAGTTTCTAATTCTTCAGGTCAAAAGGGACCATATATCTAGACCTGATGATGTAGAGACTACAGCACATCATTTCCCACCTATCACTCAAATATCCTGGACTTCTGAGCTTGAGACTATCACTTACTAACAGCCAGACATCTGGGACTGTGGTGTCAAGCATCACTCAAACAAAGTTAGTGGAGCTGATGGAATTCCAGCTGAGCTATTATAAATCCTAAGAGTTGATGCTATTAAAATGATGCACTCAATATGCCAGCAAATTTGGAAGACTCAGCAGTGGCCACAGGACTGGAAAAAGGTCAGTTTTCATTTCAATCCCAAAGAAGGGCAATGCCGAACAATGTTCAAATTACCATATAATTGCTGTCATTTCACATGCTAGCAAGATAATACTCAAAATACTTCAAACTAGGCTTCAACAATACATGAACCAAGAACTTCCAGATGTACAAACTGGATTTAGAAAAGGCAGAGGAACCCAGGATCAAATTACCAACATCCATTGGATCATAGGAAAAGCAAGGGAATTCTAGAAAAACATCTACTTCTGCTTTATTGACTACACTAAAGTCTTTGACTGTGGATCACAACAAACTGAAAAATTCTTAAAGAGATGGAAATATCAGATCACCTTACCTGCCTCCTGAGAAACATGTATGCAGGCTATGCAGCAACAGTTAGAACTGGACACGGAACAGCAGGTTCAAAGTCGGGAAAGGACAACGTCAAGGCTGTCCACTGTCTCCGGGCTTATGTAACTTACATGCGGAGCACATCATGCAAAATGCTACACTGGATAAAGCACAAGTGGGAATAAAGATTGTTTGGACAAATGTCAATGACCTCAGATATGCAGATGATACTACTTTAATGGCAGAAAGTGAAGAGAAACTAAAGAGCCTCTTGATGAAAGTGAAAGAAGAAAGTGAAAAAGCTGGCTTAAAACTCAACATTCAAAAAACTAAGATCATGGCATCCAGTCCCATCACTTCATGGCAAACAGATGAGAAATTAAGGGAAACAGTGACAAACTTTATTTTCTTGGGCTCCAAAATCAAAGCAGATGGTGATTGCAGCCATGATATTAAAAGATGATTGATCCTTAGAAGAAAATTTATGACCACCCTAGACAGCATATTAAAAAGCAGAGACATCACTTTGTCAACAAAGGTCCATATAGTCAAGGCTATGGTTTTTCCAGTAGTCATGTACAGATGTGAGAGGTGGACCATAAAGAAGGCTGAGCACCAAAGAATTGATGCTTTCAAATTGTAGTACTTGAGAATTCTCTTGAGAGTCCCTTGGACAGCAAGGAGATCAAACCAGTCAATCCTAAAGGAAATCGGTCCTGCGTATTCAGTAGAAGGACTGATTGATGCTGAAGTTGAACCTCCAATACTCTGGCCACCTGATAGAAAGATCTGATTCATTGGAAAAAAAACCCTGATGCTGGGAAATATTGAGAATAGGAGGAGAAGTGGGTGACAGAGGATGAGATGGTTGGATGTCATCATCGACTCAATGGACATGAGTCTGAGCAAACTCGGGGAGATAGTGAAGGACAGGTAATGAAGTCTGGCATGCTGCAGTCCATGGATCACAAGGAGACGGACACAACTGAGCAACTGAACAACAAATCTGGATAGAACCTTCAGGTTTTCTTCCATATGGGCAGGTTAAGAAATTTTACCTGAGAAATGAAGGCTGGAAATATCTGGCAACCCAAAGAGCAGACCATGGTATACCAGTGCTGCTTATCAAAGATTTCCTGCCCTCTCCCTCTGGATTCAGAATAGGGTCTCACTCACTGACCTGAAGATGACTGTGTGGGCACTGCAGATACAAGTTGGGAGTAGAAGTGTCATTTCCAGTCCAGAATGCTGAACTACCAGTAGGAAATCTGACTGAGACTTTTTTTTTAACTCTACCAGGTAACAGGTAACATTTCACAATTGAACTTTTTTATCAGAATAGTTTCCATCATGAGGACATCATGACACTGAGCCCTCAAAGCAGCCTCAGTGATACAGAAAATTGGCTAAGACATAAATCTTCACTGTCTGAAGTCAGGGAGTTTAAGGCATAACATGGCCTGGCCTGGCTAATATATGCCTCATGCTGTTTCACAGTTCTGTAACCTCCTCTTCTCTGTGATTTTTCTGTACATTTACAGACATATCCTTCTTATCTCTGACAACCTGGTATTCTACCAGCCAAGAGAGTGTAATTGTTTTTTTAGCAAATTCATAAAATTTTCCGTGCATTTCCTATTCCAAACCACTTGTTAAAAAGACTGAAAATACTGAACCAAACTGACCCCAATCCTGGGGACTAAATGGCATGTTTATAAATCTTCATTTAAATTCTAAATCTAATTTTTCTATTAGTATATTTTCTTCCTGTAATATGAAATAGGTCTTTTACATAAGGTTGATTTTATTTTCACCCATCGAGCTTCACATTATTCAAAAGTGTAGCTGTGAACTTCTTGCACATATTATTAATACTATGACACATACATACAGGCTTTTCAATTGACTATTTCATGTAAATGTACTTATCATGTCTGCAATGCTTTCTAAGACATTAATCAAGAGGAAACAAAAAAATATCACGAGAAAATATTAAAATAGAAATAAATTCATAAAGCAATGAAAGGTAAATCAAACACAAATAAGTACTTAAATTCAAATATTATTTTTAAATCTTATACCACAAATCATTTCACATGCCATAATACATTCATAGTCATCTCTTTTGCTTTTGCTATTTGATAAATAATATGATAGTCCAGAAATCAGCATAAGAATTATTATTAATTTGGGGAATATTCACATATTTTAGGCCTTTAGTCCTATTTTTAGTCTATCATAAAATTCCAAAATTTTAACATTGATTTTACATCAGCAGATTTTTTTTCTCCAAAATACATCAAGGAAAGTAAATGACAGGAAAGTGAATAAACAGTTATAGAGCTCTCAGGGGAAGAGAGTCAAAAGGAAAGTATAAATATACAATGGATGTGCAATTTTATTACCTGAGTATTTAACAACTCTTCACACTTGTGAGCTTGTTTCTCAATTGCAGAAATGTACTGCTTTTCAATAGCTTCTACTTGTTGCTTAACTGAAGACTGTAGTAGTGCCTAAAAACAAGCAAAAATGTTATTTGGATCACAGACAAAACTTGGAATCTACTATTGGCATGAGAAATTTTTTTGACAGATGTACATGTCTGAAATATGATACTCTTCTGCATTACAAAATACACATTTGTGAATATTAAAGCACATTCATATATAACACTACTTTAAGCTTTTGGTTTTAGGTTTTGCTATTGCCAAAACTACAGTTTTTTGGCTCAGATATTCCTTCCACACACCTTCTCGTTAAAAAGGCCAAGTCATAGAAGATGATAAAGAGAGTGAGCAGTTCTGTTAAATATAAATTCAGTTTAGCAAAGACCACACAGGATGAGAAGCATATGAAAGCTGCTGAAGAAAAAAAGAAAAGAGAAAAAAAACCAGACATATTTCACTGGCTGACAAAACTCCACATCCTCTCGGCACACTGTAATATCCCATGGGCCAAGCATGATCTTCAAGACCACAAGTCAAGTAAAAGCAGATGGAAACTCTGAGCCGTTTCAATCATGAAAAAAAACTGCCCCCCAGGAAGTGCACGCCCCTAATGTGAAAAGGTGTAAGGCGAAGTGTGGATGGCAGAATCTCAAGGCAGTATTCATAAGAAGTAATAAAACTTGGGAGACTAGACAAACGCAAGTGGACAGTGTAAACACTGGAACCTCAGTCACTTAAATATAAAGATGTTAACATTGATCTGAGGGAAGCCAAATAAGCATTGGAAGATGTTCCGCCCACTTACTTCCTTATTGGTGATGCTTGGAATATTATCATCTTTCCTTTTTTTTTAAGGCATTATACATTATAGTTAATGTGCTCTCGATATTATCTTACATGCTATTTATAAATCCTGAATAATTCTAAAAACTTCACTTCACCATATGCATAAGAACTCTTCAGCAAATATTCTATTTTTGAAGGTCTATCTGGATAATAAACTACTCATAATCAAAATAGTAAGTTGAAACAGACACATGTCTTATAGAAAACAGACCTTTGGCACATTCACCAAGAAAAGAAAAATATGCCAAATCTCTTAAATAATCTCTGTTTTGAAAATAGACTTACTTGGTTGGAAACAACATGCATTAAGAGGCTAAATAAATATGCATGTATTTTTAAAAACTGAGACAAAAATATTTTTGAAACCTCTGGATAAGTCTCAAATCTTCAAATAATTAACTTTCTCTTGCAAATGTTAAACTGTCTCATGATGCTTCTACTCCTATAATTCAACAGTCGTCACTCTGAAGCTGCAGAATTACCAGTGAGTTAGTAAAGGAAAATAAAGTTCTGACTGCAGTTTGACCAACATAAAAAGAACCGCTTAATAGCACTGCTTCAGGTTTTCATTTATATATTATGTCTTCTAAAGAATCCATAATGATAATTTATAAAAAAGAAAAACATTAAAATTTAAACTGGCTAGATAATGTAAAGCTCCTATTTACCTTTGGTACAATATAATACTATTTTTGGACTTCAGAAAATTTAAAGGTTGGTAGATTTATGGCCAGTTCTCTTGGGTTACATTCATGGCATCTTTTGTAGAGAGAAAAATGTCATTCTCTGGAGAGACTTGGGTTATGGCAGAACTGTTTTGCTTAATGGAAAGGATTGTTTTCACTTCCATATTTGCCATGATACCAAATAATCCCAGTTTTAATAACAAGTTGTGATTTTTTAGTAAATTATATCCTTTAGAGAGACAGGTAAACTAATGAAATAAAATAATACTTCCTCATCATAATTAAGAAACACAAATGAACAGTACTTTCTCCTGTGGTGATTAATTTGTAAACTACATACTCATTTTCTTCCAAACTTCAAGGAAGTAAGCACCACAGGATAATGAATCATGTATAGGCCAAAACTGCAATTATGGAACATGGAAAAAAGCTTTGCACAAATGACCAGCTTTTCACATAGTTCAAGCCTCTTATATTAGCCCCATTTGGTTACTTAAATGTATTCATCTATAAAAAGGACATGAAGGTAGATAACAGGAACAGACAGATTTAAATTTAAAAAGTCGGTCCTCACTGAGTTCATTCTATTGTTGAAGAGAAACATTCTCTAGAAAACAGAAGGTGCAAGGTGCTTATCAGAGATAGAAAAGATGCCCAAGGCCTGCGTATAAGGCTCATTGCTATTCACAGAGAACATTAAATAAAGAAGACAAGCTGGACTTTAGAGTGAAGGCAGATAGAATGGCAGAAAATATAGAAAAGTAGGCAGATGTCATATACTAAAAATCTTTGTACTGCCATAACAAGATTTTTTTTTTCTTAAGTGGGCCCACAATACTGAACTTCCCAGTTTTGCATTCCAGTCCCCTATAATGAAACGAACATCTTTTTTGGGTGTTAGTTGTAAAAGGTCTTGTAGGTCCTCATAGAACCATTCAACTTCAGCTTCTTCACCGTTAATTGGTCAGGGCATAGACTTAAGACTACCGTGATACTGAATGGTTTGCCTTGGAAACGTACAGAGATTATTCTGTCATTCCTGAGATTGCATCCAAGTACTGCATTTAGGAATCTTTTCTTGACTATGATGGCTACTCCATTTCTCCTAAGGGATTCCTGCCCACAGTAGTAGATGTAACGGTCATCTGAGTTAAATTCATCCATTCCAGTCCATCTTAGTTCTCTGAATCCTAGAATGTCGACATTCACTCGTGCCATCTCCTGTTTAACCACTTTCAATTTGCCTTGTTTCATGGACCTAACATTGCAGGTTCCTAGGCAATATCACTCTTTACAGCATCAGACCTTGCTTCAATCACCAGTCCCGTCCACAACTGGGTGTTGCTTTAGCTTTGGCTCCATTCCTTCATTCTTTGTGGAGTTATTTCTCCACTGATCTCCAGTAGCGTATTGGGCACCTACCAACCTGGGGAGTTCATCTTTCAGTGTCCTACCGTTTTGCTTTTTCATACTGTTCATGGGGTACTCAAGGCAAGAATACTGAAGTGGTTTGCCATTCCCTTCTCCAGTGGACGACATTCTGTCAGACCTCTCCACCATGACCCATCCGTCTTGGGTGGCCCCACACAGCATGACTAATGCAAAAGTAGGAACTCAAGAAATACCTGGAGTAACAGGCAACTTTGGCCTTGGAGTACAGAATGAAGCAGGGCAAAGGTAAACAGAGTCTTGCCAAGAGAACACATTGGTCATAGCAAACACCCTCTTGCAACAACACAAGAGAAGACTCTACACATGGACATCACAAGATGGTCAGCATCAAAATCAGACTGATTATATTCTTTGTAGCCAAAGATGCTCTATACAGTCAGCAAAAATAAGACAGGGGGCTGACTATGACTCAGATCATGAACTCCTTATGCCAAATTCAGGCTGAAATTGAAGAAAGTGGGGAAAACCACTAACCATTTAGGTATGACCTAAATCAAATCCCTTATGATTATACAATGGGTGTGACAAACAGATTTAAGGGACTAGATCTGATAGAGTGCCTGATGAACTATGGACGGAGGTTCTTGACATTATACAGGAGACATGGATCAAGACCATCCCCAAGAAAAAGAAATGCAAAAAAGCAAAGTGAGATTCTAAGGAGGCCTTACAAATAGATGTGAAAGGAAGAGAAGTGAAAAGCAATGGAGAAAAGGAAAGATATACCCATTTGAATAGCAAGGAGAGATAAGAAAGCCTTCCTCAGTAATCAGTGCAAAGAAATAAAGGAAAACAACAGAATGGGAAAGACTAGAGATCTCTTCAAGAAAATCAGAGATATCAAGGGAACATTTCATGCAAAGATGGGCTCAATAATGGACAGAAATGGAATGGACCTAACAGAAGCAGAAGAGATTAAGAAGAGGTGGCAAGAATACACAGAAGAACTGTACAAAAAAGATCTTCATGACCCAGATAATCACGATTGTGTGATCATTCACCTAGAGCCAGACATCCTGGAATGTGAAGTCAAGTGGGCCTTAGGAAGTATCACTACAAACAAAGCTAGTGGAGGTTATGGAATTCCATTGAGCTATTTCAAATCCTGAAAGATGATGCTGTGAAAGTGTTAAGCTCAATGTGTCAGCAAATTTGGAAAACTCAGCAGTGGCCACAGGACTGGGAAAGGTCAGTTTTCATTCCAATCCCAAGGAAAGGCAGTGCCAAAGAATGCTCAAACTACTGCACAATTGCACTCATCTCATACGCTAGTAAAGTAATGCTCAAAATTCTCCAAGTCAGGCTTCAGCAATACATGAACTGTGAACTTCCAGATGTTCAACTGGTTTTAGAAAAGGCATAGGAACCAGAGATCAAATTGCCAACATCCGCTAGATCATCGAAACAGCATTTCTGCTTTATTGTCTATGCCAAAGCCTTTGACTCTGTGGATCACAATAAACTGTGGAAAATTCTTCAAGAGATGGGAATACCAGAGCACATGACCTTCCTCTTGAGAAACCTGTATGTTGGTCAGGTAGCAGCAGTTAGAACTGGACATGGAACAACAGACCAGTTCCAAACAGGAAAAGGAGTACATCAAGGCTGTATATTGTCACCCTCTTATTTAACTTATATGCAAAGAACATCAAGAGAAACACTGGGCTGGAAGAAGCCCAAGCTGGAATCAAGATTGCCGGGAGAAATATCAATAACTTCAGATATGCAGATGACACCAACCTTGTGGCAGAAAGTGAAGAACTAAAAAGTCTCTTGATGAAAGTGAGATGGTTGCAAAGAGTCTGACACGACTAAGCTACTGAACTGACTTACTGATAATACTGAACAGTGGAATTATTATTGTCACTGTCCAAACAAAGGATGTGCTGTCTGAAAACAATCCTTAGAAGTAGAATATTAATTATCATGGACATACATAAACAACGGTACTATCTACAAGCTTTTATAGCAAGTCTGTATTATATAACTGGATATTTATTCTCCTGTGTAATGTACTATAATAACTGCCTTACAACTTACTGTGCAGTTACATTAAAAAATGCACACTATCCTTAACATTTT